GTACACACACACACGGACTCCCTCAAGCGCCAGGTACACACACACACACACCTCAAGCTGCATGTACACACACACAAACACACACTCCCTCAAGCGGCAGGTACACACACACTACCTCAAGCTGCAGGTACACACACACACTACCTCAAGCTGCAGGTACACACACACACACACTACCTCAAGCTGCAGGTACACACACACACACACTACCTCAAGCTGCAGGTACACACACACTACCTCAAGCTGCAGGTACACACACACACACTACCTCAAGATGCAGGTACACACACACACACACACTACCTCAAGATGCAGGTACACACACACACTAACACGTGTGTTTTGTGTTTCAGAGACAAGGATCCGTTGACTTCTGAGCGGCTCATCCTGTTACCCACAATGCATCGGGCTGAAGAGTCTCCTGTTCCCATGGCAACATGCTGTGTCCTGCTGTTGGTGTTTAGATGATATGATGATGTAATATTATACTGTTGTTTCATGTTTCATTCACCCAAAAAAGTGTGTTGATGTTGATGAGAATAAATCATTGATCAGAAAACTATACAAACGGATGAGTACAGTAAAACGTCCACATGTTTCCATGGTGAGAGAAACCACTGGGCAGATGTTCCGACATGGAGTAATGGGTCAGTGGGGACTCGGTCTTGGTCCTTGAGACCGACGGGAAGAAGCTGTGTGTCCTGATGGACCTCGGCGTCCTGCCAGAGGGGAGGGAGGTCGGCTCAGAGTCCCGGAGGGACGGCGGATCGCAGCCCATCGCGCGCTGCAGTCTGTCCCGGTCCTCGTCAAGTTAGATCCCAGTCCCTCTCAGTCCACGTGGCACGCAGATCCCGGGTGGCGCTGGTGCCGCTGAGCATTCTGGGATCGGAGGCAGTGGAGCATCATCCTTATCAGCGCCGGACCGGGGGACGCTTTCTTCATGCAAAGTGCCTCAGAGACGAGATGAGCCGGGCGGAGGACGCAGTGGACCAGGTGAGCTCCTCTGCCCGGGAAGCTCGCACCGTGAGCCGGTGTTACACGCCTACTGGTTTTTGACCCTACTGGTTTTTGACCCTACTGGTTTTTGACAACCCCTCTCGCTGAGCGCCAAACGGACGTCAGATCAGACAACGTTGTTTAGTGATAAAACGTTACGTCGCAACTGGTCCGACGTTTCCAATCCGTGATTTCAAACCCTTGTCCAGCTGTTTACTGACGTTTGTCTGTATTAACAGCAATGTTTTATGTTTTGCAATTTTTGCAATTCAATTCAGGTTTTAGCATTTTCTAGTTCTCATTTTCCTCCACATCCTGTGATGTCTTTGGCGTCATAGTAGAAACTCCCCAGCAGGTGGAGACGTTTCCTCATAAATGCTCTATGCGTATATTCCATGTCCATCCATCCACCTTCACGCCTCTTGTCCTCCATCCAGCCTTCAGGTGATAGACGGGTTCATCCTGGACTGGTCACCAGCCAATCACAGGCCTACGGGCCATTTAGAGTCCCCACCCTGATCCCAGAGCCCGTCTCTGGACTGTGGGTTTCAATCTGGAGAGACTTGTTGAAATGTGAACCATGCTTTGTGATGACGGGCATAATATTGCAGAGTTGTTTGGGCCTTAGGATGGACGAGGGGCCGGGACGTCGAGCCGAGATGAGGCATGTCCCCCCTCTGGGCGTCCAGACGCTGGTGCTGGTGGTAGAGCCCAAGTGAGGCCGGGTTCTGCTGTAGATCGGAGGTGTCGTGGGGGTGTCGGGGTCGCCTTTGGTGCCTGCTGACATGACGACTGACAGCAAAAGAGGTTTTACGTTAACGACACCCACGTCTGCTTGGCTGCCTGTGCCCCCCCAAGGAAGAAGGAGGCCCCTAGGATCAGCACAGCC